TCCCTACAGCAAATAGCAATCTAAGCAAGTTCCACTCAGGACTTTTTTGAAGACTGAAAATACTCAGAAAAAAAATAAATTAACAGACAACCTGACAGAAATTTTACAGGAACCGCTGGTTTTGATCACAAACCTGTATGATTATCTTTACTTGTGCCCCGGTTAGGTAAGATGATAAACATTCACACACTGTTGCTGTCCACTGCATGCTTCCACCTGTTGGTCTAACAAATTATAATCTCCTTTAGCACAAGAGAAGTTGGCATCTCCTGAGCTTAACAAACAAGCCCTCCCCTTTACTGAGTTTTGATTTTTTTGAAACTGCCTGTACTGTCAGGGAAAAAAGACAATCTCCATTACAGTTAACAGTAAAAAGAAATGGTTGTTCACCTCTAGATCTATATGACAGGAAGAATTCAAAAATATAACCCCAAAACTTCAAAACTGAGGAGGATCATGAGTTCCAGAAGTATGACACCTGTCTTAACAGAACAAAGGAAAACCCATACTTCATCTACAAATCGGGCTTTTTGTATTCATTCAGGGAATGGGTATTACAAACACGATTATTTTTTCTTCACAGTATACAACACACAAACAAATGCACATGAGAATACCCCGGTTCTCTCTTTTTTCTACAGTCTAGAAAAGAGAGACCTCCTGTGCATTTTCATGAGATCTAATGCATCTCAAATTCTGAGCCAAGGAAAAAAGCATTCAGTGAAGTAAGAAAAACCTCTATCATCTGTCCAGTATTTTATAATTCATCCTATGAATATTTTTTCTTTCTGTAGCACAGTTGCTGCTTTACTGCTACATAGCATAATCTTTAGGAAAAAAAACCCTTTATAAAACAAATCACAGCCACCATCCCATTTTGTCTTTATTCAGAAAGCAAACCACATCCAAATCTTAGATAATCAGTGCTAACACAGGAAAATATTAACTTATGCCATTATTAGGTTTCTAATACTGCTACTCAGTATAAGGGAAAGGCTACCTTATGCCTGCCAAGGAACATTCTATTGCTAATGTCCTAATTATCTTCATGTTTTCCTCAAGTTTTCTTAGACAGCTGACATCCACTGTTTTTTCAGCTCCAGAATCATAAAGTATTACCTGTTACAGACAAGAAACACAATGAAACAGAACGCTCTGCCCCCCCGCATTATCTGTGATAATTCAAAGCATGCCTGAATAGGTAAAAAAATTCAAACAAACATTACCAGGATGCAATGAATGTCCTTTGCACTGAAGTACTCCATCACACAACACAAACGACTACCACAGGGTACTGAGAGGACAAAACACACAGATGTGCTCCAAGGGGCTTAAACAACTTTACAGAGGCTGTTACTTGAGTAAGAAAATTTCTTTTCCCCTGCTTCAGTTATGTTGGTGCATTTAAATTTGTAAACCTAGAAATGCTGAAATAGCTCCCCTTCACCCCTTGCTTTTTATTCTGACATGGTTCAATAGCTGTTTGAGGGCTCTTAGCCTTGGAAAGCAGATGATGCAAACCAGAAGTATAGGAAGTCCCGCTTCTGCTTCCTACTACCAAGACCCACAGGCATAATCTGATGATGGTAGAGAGAACCAATGGTAATCCAGTCCTGGATTATCTGTATGATTAAAAAGCCAATCTTACTTTTGAGGTAAGTAGCTATCTATTCAAGAAATGCCTCTTCTGATGCTCTTTACTCTTTCCAAATGAGTACAACAAAAACCACGTTTAAAGCAGCACTGTGTGAGAAGTTACTATGGAAAACATTACACCTACATGGCATGGTGCATCACCATCAGTTTAGGGTTCAAGCAACAGCAGGACTACATGCGTTCTTGTGGTGCTGCACTCAGTTCAACTGGCTCCATCTTTTAGCAAGGATCATTAAATTTGAATTAATGTGACCCTCAGGTTCACACAGCTTCTAGAATCTAAGCTGAACTGTTAGGCTATAGCTTGGGAATCTGTGCTGTGTTGCAAAGTGTAGTGTAAACATACACAAAGTCAACCTCATGAGCCTTCCTCAACTACCAGATTCCCTGCTAAAGGCATCTGAGCTTTGATGACACAGTAATCTTATTTGCAGCAATGTACAATGTAACTTAAACTCTCGACAAAAGCAGAAGGCTGTATGCGAAAACATTAACACAGAAGTAAGAAGCAAAGATTTGACATTATTTTAATCAACGAATGCTTACAAACTTTAGAAATAAAAGTATGAACCTCTTACAGTAACAGGTTTACCTCTGCACTTGTTTCAGAGACAATCCTGCTTATTTGACCTCTTTGCCACTGTTTCAAATCACGCACATAAACAGCACAGTGCATACTACTTTCCCACTTCATGGACTGTGGCTGGGATCCTTTGTAGATAGTAGCCATCTTCTCCTGTAAACTAACGTTCAAAAAACCACTTTTCTATTGGTAAAATTTTATGTAGTGAATAAAGGGTTTATTTAGTCCACTACTGCTTAACTAGCATACAGTAAAGTTTTAATAACTGTTTAACAGACATACAGTATTGTAGTTTTTCTTCATGACGTTAGAAATACACAAAATGTAGCTTCAAAGCACATGCAATCTGATTAAAATTCTGTAAAACTATCATGTTTTCTTCAACAATGGAATTAATCCGAGTGATCCTGACCCTTCTGTATAGCACTACGTGAAAGATGCACTATTTTCTCTCCACAACTTGAGAGTGTGGTACTCATTTAGTGTCAGGACTAATTCAGTTGGACCCTAGGTAGCTACATACAAGAAGGTAAAAACATGAAAGAAAGGAGAAATAAGAAGCAGAAAATAAGCATCTCGCACTAATGACAGTTCCATTTAACTGTCTTCAAACAGTACACACTATTACCTACATGTTATCTAAATATCTACCAAAGGAAGGTTGATACACTATGCCTAGAAATTGCCTTCCAACTTTCCTAACAGCACATTAAACCCATGTTGAAATAAATAACTTGACTGAAGTTCTATGACTTAAGATACCAGTATTATTTAACAAGATTTCTAACAAAGGAATGGAGAAGAAAAAAGGAAGAGCAGAAAGATTTATCTTTCTGGACAGTGTTACATTTACCAGGCCCCAATACTTACTACATTAAAACTGATGTGAAATAGGGAGTTAGATGATGTACTTGATTTGGAATCACAAATATTTAATAAACCACAACATAGTGCCAATCTGTCTGTTCTTATACTGCCCTCAACAAAGCAAGATAAGTCAACAGCATTCAAAAGAGCACCCAGTGCCAAATGCAACCCTAATCAGAGTTTGTTCTAACTATACTTTACCACTTTGCAATAATGCCTTAACTTGAGAAAAGTTCTTTGCATTTTAGTACCTTTTCAGTACACCTTCTGATGACAGCTGCTGTATAAAAATTTTACTAGGAGACACAACATGACTAATTCTCACTTGTAGCTCTTTCTTAGAGAGTGATTTGAAATCTCCTTCATCCACAGATTCCATGTCTACAGGATTTAAAGCTTCTGAGGTTTCAGAAATTTCCTCTAGAGGAACATCCCATATTTCGTTGGGCCTTACAGCAGTACTTTCAGTGTACCTGTAAAGAGCATAAAGTAATTAGAATGGAACATTTAAACACATTTTAAACAAAGTAAAAAAGAGCTCAATAATCAACAGTTCAACATGACAGGAATCCTTCAACATGAAGAAGAGTGAGGAATAATGAATAACTTAGAAAAGCAGACAAAAATGCCAACAAAAGAGAAAAAACATTTCTAAATGGTACTTCTGAAACACTCATGATAGTAACTTATTTTTATTCTCCTTCAGAACGTATGCTTGCACATTCTACTGACAGATGAAAGCACTACGCAATACAGGCTGCCAGCGGAAAAGCAAGCCTGACACAAATGGGCTGCTGAACATATAATGTTTGTGTCTGGCTTAAAAGACATCAAATTACTAGTTTCATGCTTCTGGAAATCAATGTTGCCTCTGAGTGAAATCTGCAACATTCAACTTCTCAGATGTGTAAATATTCCTTTCAGAAGTAAAGAATACTAACATTAGTGAAACATTTACCTTTCTAGCATTCCCTGAGGATACAAATACAACACAACTGGTGCTAGCACTTTCCTAAGTAGAATACTGAATGAAGTATGGTCATGATAATACCTTGATGAAAACTTGTTTAAATTGTGTGAACTGGACAGAATAAAGCCCAACAGCAATCAAGAGTTGGCTGGTATGTATTTTGAGCCACAGCCCAGCTTAGTACACGTCTGCGTGAATTGTGCCAACTAAAGACGTTAAGAGATTGCAGCTTGAAAAAAACCCTGTTAATGCAAAAGAACTGGCTTCTCGTAAACATCACTGACTACAGAGAGACAGCAAGCATGAGTTAACTGCTGGCCATTTCTGGGCCTCCAGGAAGAAATTCTACCACCTCTCTTTTCCTTCACAGGAAGGAAACAAACTGCTCTGTCAGAGAGAAAACTCTGTGAAGTATTGAATCATCTACTACATACTACTACACAAGTATTTATGCAAACCTTCCTAATGCAGGTGTTTGGAAACTGCTGGGTGAAACAACTAACTAACAGAACCAGGAAAGAAATGAAAACCATAGCTCATAAATACCCTTACCCTGCATACAGCTAGTCTGAGCTATGAAATAGACAGAGGCAATCTGCCATGGAGAGTTCTCCCAAATGAAATACATGTTACATGTCTTACAACCCCCTTTCTAAGAACTCCAGTATAGCATTATCATTGCAGATCCATGAGAAAAACCAATCCATTTGGAACGAACTTCAGATTCCAAGGTTTCTTCCTGGAATTCTGTATGGACTACCTCCTATCCCAATGCAAGAGTAAGGTTACTGCCGTTTGCTTGTCAGCAAGTCAGCTTCAGTGGAGGCTGTGCTCTCCTGCTTATACTGTCTTATACTAGTTTAGAGCTGGGTAACCCAGCTGTGTAACCCCCAACAGCATTAAACATGGAAGGGTAATCATAATCCAAGTATGATTCTAAATGACCTAAAGTACATTTATTCACCAGTCTCTTGCCATTTGCAGACATCCATCTTCACAAATGGGAAATTCAGTGAGTAAGTGTAACAAATGAGCTCTGGAGGGCTAGAGACCTATGTGCGCTGGAAAACAAAGCAAGCCAAAAACTCCCAAAGCCCCTACACAAAACAACCCCCTTGCCGCCTGCCCCCCCAACAGAAACATCATTCCAACTAAAAGACATGGTGCACCAGGTGTAAATGGCAAGGCGTTGGTAGCTGGGGAGAGTGGCTGCAGTGGTGACCTCTGTGCTGCCCCATGGCAGACACAGCCGCGAAAGACTCTCTACAGGACATGGCTGAGCCCTTCAGTGAAGCTGGTAGCACCTCTAATTTAATGAAGCGCAGAAAACGCCAGGGAGAGAGAGGAGGGAACAGAAGAGAAATAACATAGGAACACCAAGGTCAGAAGAGTAGAAGGTGTTTTGTGGGGCAAGAGGCACACTCCTGAAGGGACTGAGGCCTGTGGAGGGCCCACGCTGAAGCACAGGAAGAAAAGAGCAAGGAGGAGGGAGCAGCAGGGAGAAATTGGCGTGTCCTGACCCCAACCGCCTGCACTGCTCGCTGCCTCACTGAAGGGACTCAGCCTAATGCGAGTGTAGGGGGGGAAAGAGAGGTGCGTGGAGCGAAGCTGAGCCTGGGAAAGAGGGCGGGTAGGTGCTATACATGTTTGTCTTTTGTGTCCCAATGCCTGAATGAGTAATTAAATATTTATGCTAATTAGTAATTAAGGTAAACTAAGTCTGTTTTGCCTACAACAGTACTTGGTAAGCAATTTTCCTGTCTTTATTTTGACCCATGAGTTTTCTTGCTCCTGTTTCTTCTATTTTCTTCCCAGCCCAACTAAAGAAGGGAGAGTGAGCGAGCGACCAAAAAATCCGCATTAGTGAAGTTATCAGTGTTAGACAGCAACTTATATTAAAGTAACATATCCACTTGTTTGCAGGCCGCAAGCAGACATCTAAGTGTAGCTGCAACACAACAAAATACCCTACTGACAGTGACAAAACAATTCAGCTGTTCAGGTTTAAATAAAGCTGCTTAACTTTACAAAAATCTTATTAAAAATTTTGACTAGTACAAGAAAAGTGCTACTAGGGTTTAGTTACATTTCTGAGCTAAGAGATGAAAATCTACTTATTTGCTTCCTCCTGAAAAAAGCAAATTCAGGAATTTCCTTTTGGAATTCCCTTTTGGAATCTATTTAACAATCTTTTCATTTTTATCAGTATTGAAACATTATTAATGAAAGAATAATGACTGATTTTCATGAATACAGCCCATGGATTATCTTTTTAAAAAGCCAACACATTAAATGCAGCAGTGTTATCTCCTTATCAGCCTCATCTCCCCTAGCAGGTTTCCCAACCCTTCTGTCTGTGGCTGTCATAGCTGGTTATCTGAGTATTTGTTTCCTAATAACAGGCCTTCCAAAGAGATGACTTACCTTAGGTGCAGGTTAAACACACAAAAGTGGTATTTCTTTTCTTTCTACAGGGGAACAGGAACCTTAATGATAACCAGTTTGGGAAGATGTGGCACCTAAGCACATTACAAGTATGATGCAAACATTTCATTTCCAACTTCAGCATCAATTTCAGTAAATTATGTTAGTCAAGATTTATTTTGAGAATTCAACTATGCCAAAGTGTAGAGTTACACTCCGTAACTTACATCAGTTTGTAATTAATTTATCACAAATGTGGTAAATTCCAGCCACTGTAGGTGACATACTAAAGCCAGTAATTCTGTTACACAAATTCAGTATTTCTAAATATTTTAAGTTATGCACAGTGTATCTACCCAGGTATGCAGGATGCTAGGTCTTCTTTAACTAGCTGACAGTTAATACTAAAGCTTCTTCCATGAACAGCAGAGGAGTCAAAGAGTTCAACAGATAAAATGTTATTATCTGAAATTTCTGTGAATAAACAATAGAAACATAATTAGTGACAATCAATGACAGTATAAAGACTATTTATGGCTTTGGAGACATGGCAAATGGTACTAAGAGACAGAATTTTGTAAAATTACATTTGATTTATAAAATACTTGATTCTAAACATCAACAATATGTAGAGGCTTAGCTTGGCACATAGCTATAAAATTAACTTAGAATACACCAACAATTACAAAATATTTTTGTACAAAGAAACCAACTGCTACATGTAATTTCATTTATTAGATGGGTTCCAAACCACCATTCCACAAGTGCTGAAAAATAACTAGCTGCATATTAACAATAAACGGTATTGAGAAAAATCCTACAAAGGCATATATGTGCTATCTGAAATTCTTTTTTTTTTTGCGATGTTTTAGAGCAACAGTTATCACACTCCCAGCTACCAATAAAGTCAGAAAGAGTCAAGGATAGCTAGTACTTCTGGGAACAAGCCCATCTTAATCAAACAGAGTATTTATATCAGGTAATGCTGGTGTGGTCCATAAGAGAAGACATAAACAGAACTTTTGTCAGAAGTTATATCTGTTATGTCTCCTCCAATTAGTTCATGTTTAGATATTCTCACTCCAGGCTACCTGTCTCAAGTATGAACATAAGCATTTCAAATAAATACTACTTAAAATAGGAAAGTGCGTGTTTCTACATTTAATTTAATAATATTTAAATATCAATTAATACACTCTTGATAACTTACCAACAACTGAACACAGCATAAGTTTATCTTCAGCCATTTCTTCAAATCTTTCCTTGGCTTCTCTCTTCCACTCATTTGCCCCTTTATAAGGCCCAATGCAAGCCAGCCTGCATCTGATTGCCTAAAGAGTAACTCAAATTATGTATCTACCGTCACATATCAAGACCACCTCCTTACAGCCAAATCACAGCCTCTGCTTTGCACTCATGCAGGACAGCAGGACAGCATGACCTTGGCTTTTGGTTCCACATTACCAATACTTGGTTTAAGATGGTCCCCCCTCCCTGCTGGCAGCTGAGCATGAACCTCACATTCAGATACATTCTTGCTGAAACAGAAAGAGCTTACTTCTCCTTGTCTCCTTTTATGGTTAAACATAGAATTGACCGCAGAGATCAGGAAAGATTACCGCAGAGATGTGATAAAGAAAGCCTTCATCCTGTTTTGCTTATCACGATGTAATAACCCAGACTCAAAGCAAGACTAACATGACTATACCATTCTAGAAGTCTGACTTCACACAGAGACACCAGAGTACCACAATACCTATGTCAGAAAATTCCTGCCAGTTTTTGAAAGCTATTAATTAGGAGACTTAAAAAGAGACACACAGGAGATCAGATGCGATGAAGTACTTTGATTAAGAGAATTTTTGTTTAGCATCTTTGTTGCAAACTTTGCAGCTACACTATGGCTCAATTTTAAATTAACTGTTAATGTTATTGTTTACTCCTTCTTGCTTATTGCACCAAAAGAAGAAAAGAGTAACACAGGTGGGGGGGGGGGAAGGGAGAGAAGGAAATAAAGACAATTGAAATAAGAATGTTTTGTGCAGATATTCTTAGGATACAGGCAGTCAGGAATATAAAAATAAAACTGACTGACAGGTTAAGTAACCATTAAAAGAAAGGGCTGTGGATGGCAAAACCAACACTGCATTAAGCACTGCTCGTTCTAGACTTGGCCAAGATTTCTGCACCACCCAAGTCCATTAAAATGCCTGCAAACTGTATTCAGGCTGAAAAAAGTCTGACTTCTCTTGTAACAGCCTAATTCAAATCTCTTAAACAACCAACTTGCATTTGAGGCAACGAATATGTGATCGTGTGTAGACTTGCCAATGCTTACATGCAACAGGACAGACCCGCACAAGCAACCTCACTTCTGATACTCTTGCCTTCTGAATGCTTGATTTTGCAATCTGGTGTTCATTCACATTTCAAAGAATTTTAAATACTTAAAAATTACGTTTTTAAAATAGAAAATATTTGAAACCATATTAACACATAAGCAGACTCAAGCCTCCTGATCTTTCTATTACTTGCATTAAAACTAACAGCAACAGGAAGTTGTTATTTATTATACAAACTTCAAGTGTAAACACCTATTCAGAGTGTTTCACCATAACCTACATTAGGCATAAGAATGCTGAAATTTGAGCATAACTGATGGGTTCAAGTTTTTTTAGACCATTTTTTAGACCATCTCTGGTCATCATATACCCATCCATATCCCTAACTTTTCAGCTCCTTCTCCTTTATGTTCAAACTGAGGAGGCCTAGTAGTATGTGCTCAAGAGCTGAAAAACTCTCAATGGATTTTTCTGCGGATTTGTATTTGGTCAATAACAAGCAATCAGTTGGTATGATGGAATAAGACACATCAAAAATCCCAACACCCTTATTCATTAGCTGCTCTGATCTGAAGCATTAAGACACTGCAACTGCAAGAACATTTTTCCATTTTCAGAATGTTTCCTCTCCCTTGCTGTCAAAAAAGGCTCAATTATTTTGGCTGAAACTTTCCCCAGAAACATTTGCTCAAAATATAAACAATTAAATAGTATTTTCAGTAAAAGATGCTGGCCAACCTTGGTTACAACAATCACTACTTCTTGTGCCTACAACCGATTAAAAAACCCCTATCAACATATGAAGTTTTAAAGTTTAGCATAATTATGGTTGGCAACCAGAACTATCAAATGAACAGCAGAAGAAAAAGAATTATTTTATACTTATGTGCGTTTTTTATTTGACAGAAATATTTTGCCATTTCCTTCCCCACTTTTTTCCTCCTTGTCAGAAGGGGAAAACTCCTAGAACACCTGAAGTTAGGAAAACACCAAACTTTAAAAGCCATAAAAAACCCCACAGTTTTTTAAAAAGACCATTATTAGACCGTCATTTGAAAATGAAGGAACGTAAAAGTTAATTTGGCTTACTCTGGTGTAAAAGAAGGTATTTGAATTAAACACACACAATGTATATACAGCTTCTCACTGCAAGGTAACATTAGATTTCATTTAAAACTGAATGATTGTCCTGGTTTCGGAATTAAAGAGTTTTCAATGTGCACCCAAAACATTAAATAAGTCACATCATAAACCCATGTGAAAAGGAACTTTCTTAACATTTTATTTACTTCAGAATGTTAACAACCCTCTCTTCCCCCTTTCATCCACTGAGGTTCTATTGATTTTGAGTATTTAATCCAGGCAAGCACTAATTTACCTTTTCTGGAAAGCTCAGAAACTCCTTTCTTACTCTGCGTATGTCTTTAAGAGTTAAGTTAGCAACGTTGCCAAAGTCAACATATTTTACTGTAACTTCCTGAGGACTTGGTAGCTCTTCAAGAAAAACAACCCAAGTTATTAAAATAAAAACTGAGTATCTCATACAGGTTAAAGCACCAGAATTTCAGAGCAAAATCCACATTTACACCATATAATCATAAAATACCACATTTTAAAATGTTCTATAACCCAGTTCAAAAACTATATTCTTTAAGAGCCAGCTCTTTCAGGTTCCTGAAATGTCAGAGTTAGCATTCTGGTCCCCGTCCACCTAATCGCTTTATGAGACACTGGCACATTAAATACATGCCAAGTAGACATGTCAGTATACAGGCATGCTACACTGCCCATACAGGCTACACAGAGGTCAGCACAAGTACAACCCCCATACCCTTCAGAATTACTACAGGAAATTATTAACCCACACTAGTTACACTCAGAGGTTGGCTATAATAGACAACTCTGTAGTTCAAACTGTAATAGTAAGTGAAACGTTATTTAAAATAATTATGTAATAGAATTTCAATAATATCTAAAAAATTAAGTATACCGCTTCTCTTAATTTAAAAACCAAACAGATGTATAAAACACTCCATTAATCATAGAATGCTTTGGGTTGGAAGGGACCTTTAGAGGTCATCTAGCCCAACCCCCCTGCAATGAGCAGGGACAGCTTTAACTCGATGAGGTTGCTCAGAGCCCCGTCCAACCTCACCTGGAATGTTTCTAGGGATGGGGCCTCCACTACCTCTCTGGGCAACCTGTTCCAGTGCTTCACCATCCTTGTAAAAAATTTCTTCCTTATATCCAGCCTAAATCTATCCTCCTTTAGTTTAAAACCATTACTCCTTGTCCTGTCACTGTTGTCATTAACAGCAAAAGAATATAACATGAATTAGTGCTACTGACTTTGTGAACCTACGGGTTAGTGTAAGAATGCCTAGTAAAAATAATGGCTCTGTGTTACTATTCATATCCAACATGTGACTCTGATCTAGTACCACAGCTGATTTTGCAACCTAGCATTAGAGTGAAAGAATCAATACTTCACCTATAATCTGTGCTCTGTACCAATTCCCATCCTTCTGTTTTGCAATACAGGCTTGGCCTTCAACTGGGCAGACAATTTCCAAATTTTTCTCATACTCATGTTTATATACCTCCTGAATTTTCTCTGGAAGAGCTGAAGAATCCAGGCTATCTCTCTAAAATAAGAAAAATAAAACATACATACACACCAGATGTTCTATTTTTTTAGATGGTATTTTTTCTCTTTTAAGGGACATTTTTTCTAGTAGCATACTTCCTAGTCTTCCCCCTCCCCCCCCAATTAAACAGCAGTTATGAATACGTGAAGTGAATTAAAAGAGTCTAACAATTGTTGAATACTGCCCTGTTTAATCACCACTCTAAAGAGTAAAACACTACATACCCACGCAGGAATTAACCATGTAACATAACCGACAAAAAAATGTTAACTTCCTGGAATGGTAAGAATTCTTGGAATTAATCTAGGATTAATCTAGGACTGTAGGAATTAATCTGATCTATTAATTCTAGAAATCCCAAAACTGATAACACGTGACAGAAATTAATGGAAATTGTAGCTTATTTAATGTCAACTACAAGTAGCTCAACATTAAGTTTGTTTGGAGTTTTATTTAAAATAGACCTTATTTCTAAACTTACCAACTGGAGATAGAAATCACTTGGACTATTAATGTGGCAAACTACAACAGAGATGACTTCTCTTTCTTGTGGCATCTTAGGTGGACTATACTGCAAGATGGTGTTATTTTCTAACTGACTAGGAAGCTGTGATCTAAACCTAAGGTAAACAAAATGAAATTTTGAATAAATTCTGTCCAAATTAACTGAGAAGGAACCCTTTTATATTCAAATGTCAAGTTTCCCATAAAAACGGCAAAATGGTCCTCTAAAAATAACTTGATTCATGTTTGTATGAATAGCTTGAACTTTCCTTCTTGCAGTTGGTGCAGCCAATTCTCTCTAATGCTTCTCCTGTCACAAACGTCATCTATGAAGAATGATATACAGCAGCTGGCTCCTACGAAGACTTTATTTGGGATTCAGTAGTGTACATTTAAATTGTCAAAAAAAATAAAAGGCTAGAATCCACTACACTGACAAAACCATTTTCTTTTAGATTTCCTTTTCCTCACTTATGAGAAAAAGCAACTACCTGAGGAACACAGATGCAGTAAAAAATTATTTCCCACTGTTCTCACCACCATAACTAGTTATGCTCAAATATAAAGAAAGACCTTTCTCTGTGTGCAGAAAGATTAACTATAATTTCCTACAGATTTGCATGCCATACCCCTGTACCCAAACACCAAAACGCTCGTGGTGTTCTCTGTCTCCTGCCTCTTCCACCGGTCCCTCCAAAGCAGCTCTTCTCCGTCCTAATGCCAACATCAAGCTCCCCCTTATGCCCTGTCATTGTTCCTCCTATTTGCTGTGCTGTATGCATCATGTCACATGGCTGGTTTGGATGTGCTGACTAGCCTGTCACTGCCTACCAGCCAAATCAAACAGATACAAAGCTGATTTCTGTATGGTTTTTTCTGTCCCTGGTAGACGCTAAAGGCTTCTCCTTTCTCCCCCTTGTTATTTCAAACTTGTACAGAAACTTAAATTTTGTTCTTTTCTAAAATAAAGTTCATTATCCAAATACAGCCCTGACTAGTGCTAATGAGTATGCCAGTGCTTATTAATGAAGGTGAAAAAAGGAAATCAACAGATACTGCTGAAGATTACTACATCACACGTTAATACAGCAAACACTGCAGAAACAACTCGCTTAATAAACTTTACTTTATAATAAAGTCATAATTTATGGCATAAGAACATAAACTAATAGAAAACACATACCTTGCCAAGTCTAAAAAAACTAATGCATCCTTGAGAGACACTGGCATGTTATTGCTTATTTTATTAAATGGAGGTTTTTTCAAATCCACAATGAGAACACCATCCTCTTCTCTAAATATGGTCATTAAAACAACTTTATTATTTACCATTCCTAAAAATTTTGTCTTTGCTTCCTCTCCCCAACCTTCGCTCTGTGTTAGGAAGAAAGAACACGTTACTGAAGATGTGAGAGAATGTTCAAACAAAAAATACAAATAGTAATTAAAAATAAAATAAAATAAAATAAAATAGAAGCAAGGAAGGTTGCACAGGCGCATGTGAACAGATGAAATACTAAACACACTGTTATACTGTCTAGTCCATAGCCAGGACAGCACTAAACAGTATGATGGATTTAAGTGTTTTTAACTGTATAAAACAGAGTCAGATGAAAGGGCTGCAGCTTCCACCACGTTTCTTTTAAAGATTCAAGATTTCATCCCCTCTGATTGTTCTAATAGATAAACCAGAATTGTCATATGCTGTTTCATCTTATGTTGACTTATGTTTCTGCTCTACCAATTCATTTGAAAGTTTATTCTTATCTTGTTGTGTTTTTATACAAATGTACAACATAGTTTGGTCAATTTACACATTCCTCCGTTCCACAACATCCTTCTTGATGTTTTACCTACCTTGAAAAAGCCTGTCTGAATTTATTTCTCTTGGATCAAGTTAATGCATTTCTCATTTGATACTGCAAATCTGTGCTTTTAGGTGCGGGGGAAAAAAAAAAGCAAGCACATACAAGGAAGGCATTTTACCCACACCTATGAAAATTGTTCCAGATCTTTCCTATTTAAAACTATTTCAGACAACAACAGACTGGTAAAAAAACCCAAAACCAACCAGCAGTTATACTGCCCAAAATGCACAGCTGCACTGGACATAGCTCATTTTCATGTGAATGTGGCAAAAATAAAGCCTAATAAATAAGTGAATACTGAAGAAAATAACGCTGCAATATATGTCTTTTTTCTAAGTGAATAAGGGCTGACAGTACTTTATTTGTTGTTATACTGAAAGAGAACAAATAACACTTTTCAATATGTGGCAAAAAATTTTAAGTAACAAAGGACAATCCCTGAAAAGATTCTATTAAAAATTCTGAAGCTGTTTCTTCTCTGTTTGGATGATTTCTGGAAGTTACTACTTGCACAAAGTTATCAGACAGCCATGAAGTAAGAATATCAGTTCTGTAATTTGTTTTTAAATTTGACAAAAGACCATGTCTAGAGTAAGAGTAGTGAGATTTAAGCCTGAAATATGTATTTGTTAACCAAGAGGCTCTTTAAGACAGACTGCTTATAAGCTCGTCTCCTTTCCAGTGAAAGCAATGCAGCCCATCTATTTACAAGAGATGATTTAACTTTTTTTTTTTTTTTAAATAAAATATACCCTTTACTCCTCTCAAGTTTCATTCTGTTTATACTGGGATGAGATCATTGTAAATTATGTATTTAAGTTCTTTAATATAAATCTTAGGAAGAAAAAAATTCTCCTGAAATAGTACAAATTGCTTTTACTTACTGCATTTTTGGGAACAACATCCTTCAATGAACACCGTACTGCTAAAGGAGGAACAGCTGCAAGTTCTGCCTCAATATGCTGATCAGGCTTCCTTACAAACAAACAAATGTCGTCTGTTTCAATAGTCTGCAGAGTAGCAGGTTCAGGTCTTTCAGCGGGAACATATCTATTGTCAATGGGATTAAAAGCAGTACTGGCTTAAAAGAAAAGGAAAAAAAAACACCACCAAAAACACCCCAAGACCAAACCCCAGACTTGAAATAAAGGCCATTACTGCAACAATTGGCATAACGTCATGTCATTGAAACAAAACCAGAAAGTCTCAATGAAATGCATTTCTTTTCATTTTTTTTAAAACACTGAGGACTCATGTTCTCTTCTGCAATGCAAGTCTAAGTTAAACATTTTAACGCGTGAAGGCTTGTACACTTGCGTACTTACATACACTGCCACTTTTCCTGTGGGAAATACCTACGTACAGAACATTAGTGTCATCTGGATATCTGGTTATCTGCTTGTGCGAAGCTGACAGAGGACTTGTTTCTTAGTAGAGATCCTCTTGAGTAACAACAGTCAAAGACAACAGTTGCAGACAAAAATCTCTCTCTGTAAACATACCCTGAGAAAATTAGAACTACAGAGCTCCCAAAATCAATCAGGAATACTTCCAGCAGTGCAATATCACAAACTTTGTATCTTACTGGACCACAAGGCTTCCTCTCATTTTTACTTTTTAGGGGAATTAGTTCAGTGATAGTTCCACGGCACCACGTTCCAGTTTCCTTACGCTTAATAAAAGTTCTAGAACCTATACAGAAGCAAATAATAATAAAGACAGACTAAATTCAGTATCTGTAGATATTTCACACTGGAAATATTATTACAGTTCTGCATAATGTTCCATTGTTGCCTATCTTCCACACAGGCAGTAAGAGTGCTACTGATAAAATAAAGACAAAAAGACATTAAAAACCTTGTCTCGATAGCCACCAGAAGTTTTCTCCCCACATTCATTTACAGAATGTCTGTAAGGATAGGAGGTGTCTGGATTGTATAGAGAAGTCATTTCTGGCAAACTTTCTATACCTCTTAGTAAAGTGGGAAAAGAACATTGAAGTTGAAGGCTATTACATACTTTTAATCAGTTTTCTAAACACCTTCTAGAAGTGAGTAACATTGTCAAAATGTGGGCTAGAAAATAATTTCCATGATTTAGCAATAGATTGTTGTCTTTCATTTTTACTTCCAGAATGGTTTCTATCCAGTTAGTGAACTTCTATCTATGCAAGGGAATGTTGCTTGCATGAGAGAAAGCTGATTTACTGAAGTAATGGAAGAACTAGGCTAGTCATTAAAATCAGTATACTGAAAAAAACATGTCCGTTAACAATTACCACCTAATGCTGGAAAACATTAAGTTTACAGTCAGGTGTTTCAACTGCTGGTTACTCTAAGCACTCAATTTATTGAGGCTGAGAAATGCAGAGTCTTTTTTTACTTCTACTGTGTTCATTTATATGATTTAGTAAAGTCTGCTTTACCAAAAAATGTGTACAATGTTTCCCAAAAAACATTAATTGTAGATTGCAGAACACATAAGGACTGCTTTACTATGTAAACCGGGGGGGGTGGGGGGAAAGAAATAAAAGAAAGAATTTTATCCTAAGGAAGACATACTGCAGGATACTATTTCAAGCTAATGTAGACCAGAAATTAGTACTTCACCTAGTTCCAAAACATCTGAAGGCAAGAGATACGAACTCTTATTACAACAAAAGTTTTTCAATTTCTTCTCCAAAATCCCTGCTTCTTTCTTCTGTGAGTATCTCCGAATATAGAAGTGGCATGGATTTATAACATGGCTTACAAACACTAGTTCTGTCGAACCTAAGACATAAAACAGATTATCAAACACTCTCCAAGTGACTCCAACAGATATTAGACATGTGATTAGGTTTATGTTGCAATAATCGTGATAACATTACCTCAAATAGCTTTTAATCTGACAAGTCTGCTTCACACTTGTTTCAAACTAGTTACCATGTTTGCTTTCTGATTAAATCCACTCTTTTGAACTACCTCCCTTATGCTACCCTTCAAAACAAAAGGCCATCTCACTGTTTACAAAGTGGTAGCCTGAATTTAAGTAGGTAATTCAGAGTTTGTATTCCCTCTATTTAACAGAGAAATAGGAAGCTTCTAGAAGGCAAACCGGAGAGATTAAGACTCCTACCTTTAAGAACAGGTATGCTAAGCACTTTTGTACAGTTAGTCAGTGACAATGCACGAAGGTCAAGGAGTGGCCTAAAGCTAGCCAAGAGATGACCCTATATAAGACAGTACTTCCGACTAAGCATCCAAATCCTTTGTACTGCAGGGGCCTTCCCTGATTTGGGATCCGAAATGCACGTTTCTCTTTCTGAAGCTACTCACCAAAGGTGGTGGATGGGTCAGAAGGTTTTAGAAGCCCAGCAACTCAACTCCTACAAGAGTATTTTATACCACAAAAATTCCTGCAAAGAGTGGATAGCATCATCTCGATCCAATGCCACCTGCGTGACTGATCAGGGCACAGCAGACAGATTTGCAGCATCCTAGAGCACTGCCATCTCTGTGCCCATCTCCAAACTACAACTGATTGTGGGCAAAAGATGGTACAAAGAATCTGGCATTTGAAACATTCCGAGCATGTATGCAGGACTGTGCTTGGAAGTTCAGGAAATGCAGTGTCCAGAACAGATGCAAGATTACTTTTGGGCATTTCCAGTGGAAAAGATGGTATCTGAGTAGAAAGTCTGAATGTCTTGAAAGATTTCAAGGTATAGGTACACTAACTCTTTGGTATCACCCCTGGTCACCATCTCCATGATGTGATGAGTCAGCTAACTTGTCTTAAGTAGACAAGGAAAAGCATGTATTAACAGTCACTTCACTAGATGAGTGGAGGCTGATACCTCCAGCCAAAAACAGTAACAGGAGCTGGGCCAGTTCTGGATCACCAGAGCCAGATGGATCCAGAAGAGGTGTATTTAAGCTGTTTGAGTATGTTCCTTAAATAAATGCAAACAAAAAATCCCAAACCCAAATCCAAAATCCCAAGATCTTGTTCTCCTAGTGTGTACATGAGATACTCAAGTGTCTGGTAAGGCTCAAACATCACACAACTGTGACAGCTGTGAGGTGTTTCTCTCCCCATGAGAATTCTTTGATGTCTAATAAAGGCTGAGCACACCCTACACTAACTTCAGTATGGGCATTAGGACAATTTCTCTGCTAACTACTTATTTCCACATAATTTGTAATGAACCTAAACTGCTCAAATTCCTTAATACTCTGTCAAGTCTCATTAAGCACAGCCAGTGAATTCACAAATCATTGGACAGGAAATTGTTAGGGGAAAGCACATTTATAAGACTCCAAGGTTAAAAAGAACCCAAAGAAAAAAAAAACAACAAAAAGCCCAAACCAAAGGAAACAATGCAATTTCCTTAATCTTTTTACTTTGCTAATGTTATTCTGTGTCCCAGATTAAGGCACATCTTTTTGCAGCAGTGCTTCTTCCTCTGTCAACATCTTAGGTCACTTTCTTTCTTTCCCAATACTAGCATCTCTACTTTTATTACCATTTACACTCAACAATGAACAAAGCTCAAAGCACCACACAAACTGTGCCTACAGAATTTTTGAATGAAGCAACTTATTTCCTCAAATTACTCTGTTTTGTACATTTATCTGTTCACTTATAATTCAGAAAACCAAACACAGACAGAGGGAAAAAAAGACAACAGTTCAAAATTCAGTATATAAACTACTGACCTAAGAAATGGGTCCCACTGTTCACAGAAAGCACTGCTATCATTATGTCAAATTTACCTGCCAGGTGTTGAGAAACACTGCCAATGCTGAATTTCTGAAAGTTGCCTGGGACTTCCTGTACTGCATCTTCCAACTAAGTGATTTTATGGTAAATCTTAAAAGACGGTATAGTCTTTACATTAGCAAGGAAAGCAGACCAGGGAGTGTTTTTGCAGAGCAAAACTGCTAAGAATGACATCAGCACTGTAAGCACTTCCCAGACTAGTTTTAACTGGAAGGAAATCAATTCATGTGCCCAAGCCTGCTCTTACATGTGAGAAAATACATGCTAGGGACAGTCAGGAAATCTGCTTCCTAGTACTGATGATCCAACTAGAATGCTAACGTATGTCTCCAACTCTCCAATGAATTCCAGAGTCTCTTCTCACTGCTTAGAGGACAGGTCCCTTCTAGTAAACTAAACCATTTACCAGATAGGAAAACCACTAACCAGCTTTGCATTGAAAAGGTGTTTCCTTCTTGGAGAGTTTATTCCTCTGTTCATCAGCATGATATTCTGTGGGAAATTCTGTTTATTGTTTTTGGAGAAAAGTTTAATGAATTAGGTTAGTTAAGTATTTATACATATATAGTAAAGCAGCAAACACAGTAAAGAGAAATCACATGTATTGTAAGGGTACTGCAAAGGCAAAAATTATCCTATCTGATGTGACTGGAACAGATGCACACATAGGGACTATGTGCACATGGCCAGCCCACATGCTAATTCCAAGACTGCAAAACTACCATTAAAACTCTTAGATTCAAGACATGCAAAACTCATATAACACTGCAATCTGAAGGAATTTTGTTCTGACAAGAGTTTTGTGAAGTCCACCGGGATTCTAGAATATGCTATTTTAGACAGTCAGGTCCAAGCTCTGAAATTTACTTTACCTTGATCACAGCTATACACTACCACAATTTCTCCCATATACCCCCCCTACTCTCTCCCTCATCTCCCCCATACAGATTTTCTAGGTATGTTGTGGATATACAACACTCTGAGGTTAAGCATCTTACCTATAATGCGAGACACATCTACCTATTCCCCCCTTATTATCTAATTGGTATTTCCATGTTCCAACTTAGAATCACGGAATCATAGAATCGTTTAGGTTGCAAAAGACCCTTAAGGTCATCAAGTCCAACTGTTAACCTAGCACTGCCAAGTCCACCACTAAACCGTGTCCCTAAGCACGACGTCTACATGTCTTTTAAATACCTCCAGGGATGGGGACTCAACCACTTCCCTGGGTGGCGTCTCACCCACTCCCCGGGGCAGCCTGTTCCAATGCTTGACGACCCTTTCCATGAAGAAACTTTTCCTAATATCCAATCTAAACCTCTCTGGCACAACTTGAGGCTGCTCCCCCTTGTCCCATCTCTTGTTACTTGGGAGAAGAGACCAACAACCACTTCACTACAACCTC